ATTATTAAAAAAAATCCATAAGCTTTTCTAAGCCCCTAAAAATTATTTTAAAAAAATCGACGCCTCCTAAGCCCCAAAAAATTATTTAAAAAAACTGCGACATTTTTAAGCTTCTTAAAATTATTTTAAAAAATCGAACAGTTTTGTGCCTCTAAAATGTATTTTAGAAAAATTCGCCTATAAAAATTATTTTTAAAAATCTGCAAGCCTTACTAAGCCTTAAGCATACTCTTAAAAAATCCCAAAGATTTACAGCTTTCTTTAAAATTCACTAGCCTTCGTTGGCCTACATAAATTTTTTCTCAAAAATCAATAAGCCTTCCTACAATTTTATAATATATTACAGAGCTAGTAATACATTACTGAGTCAGTAATATATTTCTTAAAAAATCCACGAGCCCCCAGAAAATATTCTAAAAACTATCCATGATTCTTTGAAAATCCACAAGTCTCTTACCCCTGAATGCGCTAAACACGCTGTTTACAAATCCAGGAGCACTTCAAAAATTTTCTTAAAAATTCACAAATCATTAAAAAATCTAAGAGCCACTAAAAATATTTTTAAAAAATCCAGGAGCCTCTAAAAATGTTCTTTAGAAATCCACAGGTCCCCATAAAATCCAGGACTCTCTAAAAATATTCTTTGAAAATCCGTGAGCTTTCTAAAAATCCAACATCGTCACAGATGCCTGCTAAAAGTATTCTTCTAATTCCTATAAATATTCTTAAAAGTCTAGGAGCTTTTCAAAGGTATCCCATCTAAAAATATGTTAGCTTCTAAAAAATCTTTATTTTTTATTTATTTATTTTTATTTTGAAATCCGGGTACTTCTGAAAGGCTTTCCAAAAATATTCTTTAAAATAAACGAACTTCTAGAGACTTCATAATATTAATGATAAATATTCAAGAAGGTTCTGGAATGCCTTCTACAAATATTCCTAAAAAAATACAAAAGCTGTTTAAAGGCTTCCAAAAATGTCCAGGAGCTTCGCAGATGCTCAGAAGCCTCCTAAAAGTACTCTTCAAAAAATGAGGGCATCTGAAATGCGTATTACGTCTTTAGAAAAATATTCTAAATCATTGTTAAGCCTTTAAAATACCACTTTAACGTTTTATTTAAATTCCAGGAGCTTCTGAAAGTTCCCTTAAAATTTTCTTGAATGTCAGTAGCTTTTCGTAGTCTCCTAAAACATTATTTCTTAATTTCAAGAGGTTTTCCGATGTCTCCTAAAAGTATTAATATTATAAAAAATATAGAAAAAAATCTGAAAATTGCACAAACTTATCAAAAGCCCTAAATATATATTTTTAATAAAAATAACCTTAAGATTCTGTAGTTTCTAAAATGCAGCTAAAAATTTTATTAAAAATTCTGGAACCTCTGCAAGGTCTCCAAAAATGTTCTTAAAAATCAAGGAAGCTTAGGAAATTCCTCCTCGAAATATGCCTTAATTCAGGAGCTTCTGAAGAGAAACTCCGCCTTTAAGTAGACATTCCAAACCTTTAATTTCATAACATTTAATTTGGAAAGAGTGTTCCAAAAATCTTTTTTGAATTGAGCCTTTATCCCCTTAACCACACTCCTGATTCCGAAATGCTTTCCAATTATAAATCTTGGAACCTTTGTAACAGCTCCCAATAGTTTTTTAAGAATCCATCGGCTAATGAGAGACACCAAAAATATTGTTATTGAATTGAATTGAATTATTATTTTATTTTTTTATTTATTAGTTTTAATTTTAATTTTTTTTTTACAAAAAAATATTGACTTCCCAAAAATATTTTAAGAATATCCTCAAAATTGTAGGAACTTATCAGTAGACCCCTGAATATATTTTTAAAAATTTGAAAGCTTCTGAAAAACCTTCAAAAAATATCATAAAAATCTTGATATTTATAAAAGGTAGTCAAAAAATATTAAAAAAAACTGAAGATTATGTAAGCCGTCATAAAAATCTATGGCACTGCAGAAATGCCTCAGGAACTTCTGAAGAGGAAAGCCGCGTAAAAGTAAGCATTTCAAACCTTTCAAAAAATTTAATTTTGGAAAGAATATTCTCAAAAACTTTTTTTGAGCTGAGCCTTTTATCCTTTTTTTATGAATCCAACGGCTGATGAGAGACACCTAACATATTAATTTAAATACAGGAGCCTTTGAGCAATTTCTTAAAAGTATGCTTTAAATTTTCCAATCTTTCAAAATAGTTTCAAAAAATAATTAACGTCCTAAACAGTATTTAAAAAAATACCCTCAAAATTGTAAGAACCTGAAAATATTTTTAAAAATGGGAGACCTTCTGGAACACCTTGAAAAAAAATTTTCATAAAATAGAGATTCATAAGTATCTGGTAGCCTAAAAATATTCAAAATAATTTGAAGATTTTGTAATTTCTGAAAAAAAAAATCTTGAAAATCTAAAATCATAAAAAAATGAATATCTAGAGGTCTTCTGAAATACCTTCTTGAAATATGTTTAAAATTCATGATCTTCTGGGGGAAGTCGCCCGAAAGTAGTTACTTCAGACGTTTCAAAAAATTTAATTTGGATAAATATTCCCAAAACCTTTTTTGAATTGAGTCTTTTTCAAAATTCTTTTCAATTATAAATCTCGGAATCTTTGTAAGAGTTCCTAATAGTTTTTTTTTAAATCCGACGGCTACTGAGAGACACTTAACATATTTTTTTAAATATAGGAACCTTTGATAAACATCCTTAAAGTATGCTTTAAAATTTCCAATCTCTCAATTTTTTTCCACAAAATAATTAACCACCCAAAAAATATTAAAAAATACCCTCAAAATTATGGGAACTTACCTGTAGACCCTGAATATATTTTTAAAAATTTGAGAGCTTCTGAAAAGCCCTCCAAAAATATCCTTAAAAATCCAGGTGCTTCTAAAAGGCAGATTTAGTACTCTTAAAAAATCCCGAAAATTTTGTCAGGCCTCATAATAATATTCTTGAAAATCTAGAACACTTCTAATGTTCCGAAGTATTGTTAAAATTCTAGAGCCTTTGAGAAAGTCGCTTAAAAGTATGCACTTAAATTTTCAGTTTGAAGTGGGAAAATATTCCCAAAACAAAAATCCTAAAAGTATGCTTTATTCTTTGATTTTTCTCGAGAAAACTTTTTAACTCAAAAAAGTTAATAAAAATACAGCCTTCAAGTACAGGTACTTATTGGTAGCCTATAAATATAATTTTTCAGATATAAAATAGCTTAGAAAACTATCCTTAAAAATCCAGAAGCTTCTAAAAGCCAACCCAAAATATTATTATAACTTATGGAACCTCTGTAAGGCCTTGTAAAAATTTTCTTAAAAATCTAGGGAGCTTCTGAAATGTAATTTCGAAAAATATTTAAAATTTAGGAGCATGTGGAGAAGTCGCCTAAAAGCATACATTACAAATTTTGAATCATGAAATGTTCCTCCCCCCTAATTTAATTGGAAAGAATATTTCCACAAAATTATTTTAAATTTGTATCCGTATTCCCATCTCTGTTTCCAAAACCTTTCTAAGTGTAACCTTCAGATACGCCTTTAGAAATATCCTTAAAAATCCAGAAGCTTCTGAAATATAACCCAAAAATATTATTATAAGTTATGGAACCTCTGTAAGGCCTCGTAAGAATTTTCTTAAAAATCTAGGGAGCTTCTGAAATGGCTTCTCGAAAAATACTTAAAATTTAGGAGCCTCTGGAGCAGTCGCCTTAAAGCATACATTACAAATTTCCAATCATAAAATGTTCCTCCCACCTAATTTAATTGGAAAAAATATTTCCAATAAATTATTTAAAATTTGTATCCGTATTCCCATCCCTGTTTCCAAAATCTTTTTAATTTTAAGCTTCAGATACGCCTTTAAAAATATAATTTAAAAATCCCGGAGATTCTCAAAGGTCTCAAAGAAATATTCTTAAAATTCTATTGCGATTCTAAAATGGCCCCTCAAATTCAGGATCCTCTGGGGGAGGGAAGTCGCCTAAAAGCATACATTAAAAATTTCTAACCCTTAAACGTTCCTCCCCCCTAATTTAACTGGAAAGAATATTTCCACTAAATTATTTTAAATTTGTATCCGTATTTCCATCCCTGTTTCCAAAACCTTTCTAATTTTAACCTTCAGATAAGTCTTTAAAAATATCCTTTAAAAATCCCGGAGATTCTGAAAGGTCTCATAGAAATATTCTTAAAATTCTATTGCGATTCTAAAATGCCTCCTCAAAGTATGCTTCAAATTCAGGATGCTCTGTGGGAAGTCGCCTAGAAGTATGCACTTAAATTTTTAAATTTTAATTTTTTTCCCCTAGAAGTATGCACTAAATTTTTCAAATGTTAATTTTTTCCCAAACAATTGAATTGACAGGAATATTTCCAAAAACTTTTTTTTTTGAAATTTGTCTTCGTCCCCCCCATACCCCCGCACCCCTGTTTGCAAATCCTTTCCAATTATTATCCTTCTCATGGCAACGCGAATATTAAAATATCGCAACAATGCTGGAACTGGAAATTTATGATTTTGTAATAACTCTTCTTGTTCTTATTGTTGTTGTAACTGTTGTTTGAAAAGTTTTTAATTTTATAGATTGTTTTGCGGGGCCAAAAAATTCTTCTTGTTGTTCCTGCTTCTTGAAAAACTATTTACGAATATAGATGGCGCTGTGGCGCGGTGAAGACAATGGCTTTTTGCTTTCTTTTGTGTTTTCGATGAAGAAGCAGAAGAACAACAGCACTAAATTATTCTTGGCTTTGTTTTGTTCCCGAATCATGCCGTTGGCAAAAAAATGTGAGAGGCGGGAGGAGAGGGTTTGCTCGGAAAATTATGTTGGAAATTTTTTGGGAAATATAAAGTTTTGAGGAGAAATTTTGTTGAATTTTTATGGGAAAACTTTGTCCTTTGGGAAAAGTGTGGGAAATTATTTTTTTCGGCTGGCAACTATGCCATGAAATTTCCAAACAAACCGGCATGCCATGGCACCTGTTGTCAATGACAACCGAGGTAAATAAAAATTGGAAATTTTTCGAATTTTTCCCTCAGTTCGAATTGTCAACCGATCCAAATATGGGTAAAAAAGGCAAAAAAGAAAAGAAACCCAAAGATGATCCGAATAAGCTGACCCAGGTGGATCGCACCTTCTATGAGCTGACCATTACGGATTTGAATCAGAAATTGGCCCGGCTGCGTAGTCACCTGGTGACCTTGGATGAGAATAATGTTAGTCTCAAGGAACAGCTGAAGAACATAACCGAGGAGCGTACCGATGTGGCTGCCCACCTGGAGAGGGCTCTGGCCGAACGCACCGATACCATAACCGAACTGGAGGAACGCCTCGTGGAAATCACCAAGGTGAGAAATAAGGAAAAATCTGAGGCAGCCGAACAAATCAAGGATCTGGAGGCCAAATACAAGGCCATGCATGACCAGTTGACGTCGGAAATAAAACTCCTCAATGGAAAACTAAATTCCCTCGATGAGTTCCGGATCCAAAGGGATGTACTTATGGCCAAATTCGATGACCAGGAGGCCGAAGCCAAGGAAAAGGAGCGCCTACACCAAGAGCTCATCTACAGCATGGAACAGAGAGCCGTTGTGGAAAAGGATGCCCTGAAAAAGGAGGTGGAAGCCAAGCTGCTCCAAGTCTCCGAGGACTTCACGCGATCCAGTGAGATACGAAATGCCGGCTATACCCGAAGGCTGATTCGTGAAAACATTGCCCTGCAAAAGGAAATCGATTCCCTGGTCCTCAGTCAAATTCGCATGCAGCAGGACTACAATGAGACCATGGCTCGACATCGGGACATGACAGAGCAATTCACGGCCCTGGATCAATTGAAAAATGAACTGATCCGCAGCAGTCAGAATAAAATCAAAATCATTGAAAAGCTCACCGACAACTATGAGCGATTGAAGGCGAAGCATGTGGAGCTCTTGAAATATCGTGGCCTCTATGAAAATCTAGCCAAGCGGGATGTTTGTGAACGTTTTACCCTCAACGATATGGCCAAGAAAATGAAAATTATGGGCCAGCGGATCGAGAGCTTGAAAATGGACAAGCAGCGTTTGCAGGCCCAGCATGAGCAGTATGAGGCGGAAATTCTGCGGCTTAAAGGGGTGCTGCAGCAAATACGCTCTGCCATACAACAGGCCATAACCAGCATGGACCATGGCCAAATCACCACTCTCACACCCTCCAAGGGCGAGGAAGAAGACTCTGTGGCCATCAAGAAATTACAGCGGCAAGATTTACTGCACGAACTTCTTCAAATCATTAGCAGCCAAGCGGAAGATAGTCCCGCCGCAGATGCCGCATCCCTGGCCACACCCTCCCAATCGAAAACCTCCCTCTATCGGCCAGGAAAAATGGGCTTTATGGCCCGTTCCACATCCTCTCTCATGGAGATTTTCAAAAGGGATGTACATCGCCTAGTTTCCGCCGAAATCATTGCTTCGGCATATCAGACGAAAAAGGAGGAGGGAAAAATTATACCCAAAGATCGGGTGAGCGAAGCCGGTTCCATAATTGATGTACAAATGGGTTCCACGCTGTACGTATCCGAGTCCCATGATGAAATGGACATTGGGGCTCCTGAGGAGAATGAGGAGCCCGAGGATATGGGTGAAGAGGGTAGCAGCAGTGATTATGGCCCAGAGGTCGCAGCAGGAGCAGCAGCCAGTGAAGAGCAAAGAAAAACTGGTCTAATGCAAAGGGAGTCTTCCATTGGTACCTCTCCCCGAGATTCGGATAAGGAACCAGGTCCATCGACAGTGGCCTCTGAATCGTTGTCACGTGGATCCAGGGTCTCGCGAGTGTCCAGGCAAAAGAGCCTGCCCCAGGCCGATGATGAGGCATATTCCATAAATTTATTTTATTAAATTAAAAACAAATATTTTGTAAATTTTTATATTTTGCTAAAAAAAATAAATTAATTAATTAAAAAAAAAGAAAAATAAATATTTTTTCCTAAAAACCAATAATCATTTGTGGATTTTTTAAAAAAAAAATCCAATAAATTATTAATCGTGGATTTTTAAAAAAATATTTTTTCAATAAATCATTAAACTTGGATTTAAAAAAAAATATTTTTTCAATAAATCATTAAACGTGGATTTTTAATAAAATATTTTTTCAATAAATCATTGAACGTGGATTTTGAAAAAAAATATTTTTTCAATAAATCATTGAACGTGGATTTTGAAAAAAAAAATATTTCTTGAATAAATCATTAAACGTGGATTTAAAAAAAAATATTTTTTCAATAAATCATTTAAAGTAGATTTTTAAAAAATTATTTTTTTCAATAAATCAGTAAACATGGATTTTTTAAAAATATTTTTTCAATAAATCATTAAACGTGGATTTTAAAAAAAAATATGTTTTCAATAAATCATTAAACGTGGATTTTTAAAAAAAATATTTTTTCAATAAATTATTAAACGTGGATTTTTAAAAAAATATTTTTCAACAAATCATTTAATGTGGATTTTTAAAAAAAATATTTTTTCAAAAAAATAATTAAACGTGGATTTTTAAAAAAAATATTTTTCAATAAATCATTAAACGTGGATTTTAAAAAAAATATTTTTTCAATAAATCATTAAATGTAGATTTTTAAAAAAAATATTTTTTCAATAAATCATTAAACGTGGATTTTTAAAAAAAAATATTTTTCAATAAATCATTAAACGTGGATTTTTAAAAAAAATATTTTTTTAATAAATTATTAAACGTGGATTTTTAAAAAAAATATTTTTTCAATAAATCATTAAACGTGGATTTTAAAAAAAATATATTTTTTCAATAAATCATTAAACGTGGATTTAAAAAAAAATATTTTTTCAATAAATCATTAAACGTGGATTTAAAAAAAAATATTTTTTCAATAAATCATTAAACGTGGATTTTTAAAAAAATATTTTTTCAATAAATCATTAAACGTGGATTTTAAAAATATATTTTTTCAATAAATCATTAAACGTGGATTTAAAAAAAAAATATTTTTTCAATAAATCATTAAACGTGGATTTAAAAAAAAATATTTTTTCAATAAATCATTAAACGTGGATTTTTAAAAAAATATTGTTTCAATAAATCATTAAACGTGGATTTTTAAAAAAATATTTTTCAATAAATCATTTAAAGTGGATTTTTAAAAAAAAATATTTTTTCAAAAAAATAGTTAAACGTGGATTTTTAAAAAAATATTTTTCAATAAATCATTTAAAGTGGATTTTTAAAAAAAAATATTTTTTCAAAAAAATAGTTAAACGTGGATTTTTAAAAAAAATATTTTTTCAAAAAAATAATTAAACGTGGATTTTTTAAAAAAAAATATTTTTTCAAAAAAATAATTAAACGTGGATTTTTAAAAAAAATATTTTTTCAAAAAATAATTAAACGTGGATTTTTAAAAAAAAATATTTTTTCCATAAATCCACAGACGGGGATTTTTAAAAAACATTTTTTTTTAAAAACCATTGGTGAATTTATTGAAAAAATATTGTGAATTTATAGAAAAATATTTTCTTAAAAATTTACTTTAGTGAATTTATAGAAAAATATTTTTTAAAAAATCCACGTTTGTAAACTGAGTGAAAAAATAATTTTTAAAAAAATCCACGTTCGTGGATTTATTGAAAAATTGATTTTTAAAAAATCCAAGTTTGTGAATTTATTGAAAAATAATTTTTAAAAAAATCCACGTTTGTGGATTTATTGAAAAATTGATTTTTAAAAAATCCAAGTTTGTGAATTTATTGAAAAAATAATTTTTAAAAAAATCCACGTTTGTGGATTTATTGAAAAATTGATTTTTAAAAAATCCAAGTTTGTGAATTTATTGAAAAAATAATTTTTAAAAAAATCCACGTTTGTGGATTTATTGAAAAATTGATTTTTAAAAAAATCCAAGTTTGTGAATTTATTGAAAAAATAATTTTTAAAAAATCCACGTTTGTGAATTTATTGAAAAAATAATTTTTAAAAAATCCACGTTTGTGAATTTATTGAAAAAATAATTTTTAAAAAATCCACGTTTGTGGATTTATTGAAAAAATAATTTTTAAAAAATCCACGTTTGTGTATTTATTGAAAAAATAATTATTTAAAAAATCCACGTTTGTAGATTTATTGAAACAAATATTTTTTAAAAAATCCAATTTTGTGAATTTTTTGAAAAAATATTTTTAAAAAATCCACATTGGTGAATTTTTTGAAAAAATAATTTTTAAAAAATTCACATTGGTCAATTTTTTGAAAAAAATATTTTTTTTTAATCTTCGTTGACGAAATTATTAAAAAAAATATTTTTTAAAACATCCATGTTGACGAAATTGTTTAAAAAAAAAATATTTTTTAAAAAATCCACGTTGACGAAATTATTAAAAAAAAATTTAACAAATCCACGTTGACGAAATTATTAAAAATATATTTTTTAAAAAATCCATGTTGATGAAATTATTAAAAAAAAATATTTTTTAAAAAATCTACGTTGACGAAATTATTAAAAAAAATATTTTTAAAAAAAATTCACGTTGACGAAATTATTAACAAAAAAAATTTTTTTTAAAATCCATGTTGACGAAATTATTAAAAAAATATTTTTTAAAAAATCCACGTGGACGAAGTTATTAATTTTTTTTTTTTTTAAATCCACGTTGGTTGATTTTCAACAAAATTTTTTTAAAAAATTCACCTTAATGAATTTTTTGAAAAAATTGGTGAATTTTTGAAATGTTTTTATTTAAGAAAAGTCCACGTTGTTGAATTTTTGATTGTTTTTTTGATCCACGTTGTGGATTATTGAAAATTAATTTTTAAAAAATCCAAGTTTGTGGATTTATTGAAAAATTAATTTTTAAAAAATCCACGTTTGTGGATTTATTGAAAATTTATTTTTAAAAAATCCACGTTGTGGATTTATTGAAAAATTAATTTTTAAAAAATCCACGTTTGTGGATTTATTGAAAAAATAATTTTAAAAAATCCACGTTTGTGGATTTATTGAAAAAATAATTTTTAAAAAATCCACGTTTGTGGATTTATTGAAAAAATAATTTTTAAAAAATCCACGTTTGTGGATTTATTGAAAAAATAATTTTTAAAAAATCCACGTTTGTGGATTTATTGAAAAAATAATTTTTAAAATATCCACGTTTGTGGATTTATTGAAAAAATAATTTTTAAAAAATCCACGTTTGTGGATTTATTGAAAAAATAATTTTTAAAAAATCCACGTTTGTGGATTTATTGAAAAAATAATTTTTAAAAAATCCACGTTTGTGGATTTATTGAAAAAATAATTTTTAAAAAATCCACGTTTGTGGATTTATTGAAAAAATAATTTTTAAAAAATCCACGTTTGTGGATTTATTGAAAAAATAATTTTTAAAAAATCCACGTTTGTGGAGTTATTGAAAAAATAATTTTTAAGAAATCCACGTTTGTGGATTTATTGAAAAAATAATTTTTAAAAAATCCACGTTTGTGGATTTATTGAAAAAATATTTTTTAAGAAATCCACGTTTGTGGATTTATTGAAAAAATAATTTTTAAAAAATCCACGTTTGTGGATTTATTGAAAAAATAATTTTTAAAAATCCACGTCTGTAGATTTATTGAAAAAGGAATTTTTGAAAAATCCAAGTCTGTGGATTTATTAAAAAATGAATTTTTAAAAAATCCACGTTTGTGGAGTTATTGAAAAAATAATTTTTAAGAAATCCACGTTTGTGGATTTATTGAAAAAATAATTTTTAAAAAATCCACGTTTGTGGATTTATTGAAAAAATAATTTTTAAAAAATCCACGTTTGTGGATTTATTGAAAAAATAATTTTTAAAAAATCCACGTTTGTGGATTTATTGAAAAAAATAATTTTTAAAAAATCCACGTTTGTGGATTTATTGAAAAAATTAATTTTTAAAAAGTCCACGTTTGTAGTTTTATTGAAAAAATAATTTTTAAAAAATCCACGTTTGTGGATTTCTTGAAAAAATATTTTTTAAAAAATCCACGTCGGTGAATTTCATGAAAAAATATTTTTTAAAAATCCACGTTTGTGAATTTATGAAAAAATATTTTTTAAAAAATCCACGTTTGGAATTTCTTAAAAAAATATTTTTTAAAAAATCCACGTCGGTGGATTTCTTGAAAAAATATTTTTTAAAAATCCACGTTTGTGAATTTATTGAAAAAATATTTTTTAAAAATTTTCTCTCTTCTTTCCAGGGTCCTTCGGTCCAAACGGAGAAGTGTGGCCAATCGATTGCCGATACCTGGGATTGCATTTACGAAACCAGTGGCACGTCTAACAATAAAAATCGTACCGATGTTTCACAGGAAATCGGACCCGGTTGCCGTTGTGGCTGTATTGTCCATCTGGGAGCCTCAAAGCCCAAACGCATTATTGCCGGGGCCACACAAAGCTGTCCAGGGCGATCGTTTTGGTTGTTGCAGGTAAGGTCACAAGAATTTTGAAGATTTCGAAATTTAAAAAAAAAAATTAACTTAAATTTTGTTTGGCTGTTCTACCCGATTATCCCCTTGGGCCCTTATCCCCAGGGCAAGTGTCACAATAAAAGCTTGCCAAAAGAAAATAAAATATCCTTGGGGATTGTCAGGCTAAGCCTTATTTAACGCTGTTTGAAACTTCTTTTCTATGTTTGGAAGTGTGGATGTGGGTGTGTGTGTGTGTGCAAATCTCAGTGTTTCTGGCAATAACAAATGTTCTTTTCGGGGAATTTGTTTGTCGATGCCCGGCTATGTTCACATGTCCTTAATCAATGTACAAATCCTTAACTTTTCTCTAAAACTTCCCTCCATCTTTGTAAAAACAAATAACTTCGTACAAATCGAGAAAAATATCCTGCTGCCTTTTGGGCAAAAACCCGTTAATAATCTTCTTCTACAGCAGCAGCTCCACCACCAGCAGGATAAAAGCTTCGAACAGTCCTGGCAACTGGGAGCAGCCAGAGCAGTCAACCAACCAACCAAGCAAGCAACCGACTAACAAAACCATATAAACTATTGATCCCTGGAGAGTAACTAACTGTAACATCACGCACACATATCAGCAACTCAGACACATACACTCATACACACACACACATCTGGCTACCCACACATGCACACCCATAAATCCTGGTAAGGACTTTTGTGGGCATAACCATTTCGCGGCTAGGTTTAGCTAACGCGAATGAATGTGGCACATATATGTCGATGTGTGTGAGTGTGAACATACGTGTTGGTGTGTGTGTGTGTGTGTTCAACTCAGTTTATGTAGGATATCAAGCCAAAGAATGAAATGAAATTTTGTGAAAAATATGGAATGTTATAGAAATCTATACAATAAATTAAAATTGGTTAAAGGACGTGAAATAAAGGATCCCGGAAACAAAGGCACAAACACTCACACACACAGAGAAAATAGCAAAACAAAGCCAAAGCCATGAAGTCAAAAGGGCAATAGAAAAGAAATGAAAAAAAAATCGGAAAGAAATATGAACAGCTAAGTCAACTATTATAAGTCACCAAAATAATGGAGAAAAATTAATACTGTGATTTCAATAGAATCCTTTTGTCCTTTTGACAAAATCCTGCGAAGAAAAATGGATTTCATTTATTTGGGGGAAAACAGAAGAAAAATATATTAAAGTCAAGCGAATTTAAGGCAAATACCTTAAAAAATGTATAAAAAAAAAATTTTAAAAATCCACGTTTAAGGATTTATTGAAAAAATAATTTTTAAAAAATCCACGTTTAAGGATTTATTGAAAAAATAATTTTTAAAAAATCCACGTTTGTGGATTATTGAAAAAATAATTTTTAAAAAATCTTCGTTTGGGGATTTATTGAAAAAATAATTTTTAAAAAATCCACGTTTGTGGATTTATTGAAAAAATAATTTTTAAAAAATCTTCGTTTGGGGATTTATTGAAAAAATAATTTTTAAAAAGTCCACGTTTAAGGATTTATTGAAAAAATAATTTTTAAAAAATCCACGTTTAAGGATTTATTAAAAAATAATTTTTAAAAAAATCCACGTTTAAGGATTTATTGAAAAAATAATTTTTAAAAAAAATCCACGTTTAAGGATTTATTGAAAAAATAATTTTTTAAAAAATCCACGTTTAAGGATTTATTGAAAAATTAATTTTTAAAAAATCCACGTTTGTGGATTCATTGAAAAAATAATTTTTAAAAAATCCACGTTTGTGGATTTATTGAAAAATTAATTTTTAAAAAATCCACGTTTGTAAATACTTTGAAAAATTAATTTTTAAAAAATCCACGTTTGTGAATTGATTGAAAAATTAATTTTTAAAAAATCCACGTTTGTGAATTGATTGAAAAATTAATTTTTAAAAAATCCACGTTTGTGAATTGATTGAAAAATTAATTTTTAAAAAATCCACGTTTGTGAATTGATTGAAAAATTAATTTTTAAAAAATCCACGTTTGTGGATTTTTTGAAAAAATAATTTTTAAAAAATCCACGTTTGTGAATTGATTGAAAAATTAATTTTTAAAAAATCCACGTTTGTGAATTGATTGAAAAATTAATTTTAAAAAATCCACGTTTGTGGATTTATTGAAAAAATAATTTTTAAAAAATCCACGTTTGTGAATTGATTGAAAAATTAATTTTTAAAAAATCCACGTTTGTGAATTGATTGAAAAATTAATTTTTAAAAAATCCACGTTTGTGAATTGATTGAAAAATTAATTTTTAAAAAATCCACGTTTGGGGATTTATTGAAAAAATAATTTTTAAAAAATCCACGTTTGGGGATTTATTGAAAAAATAATTTTTAAAAAATCCCCGTTTAAGGATTTATTGAAAAAAATAATTTTTCATAAAATCCACGTTTGTGGATTTATTGAAAAAATAATTTTTAAAAAATCCACATTCGGGGATTTATTGAAAAAACAATTTTTAAAAATCCACGTTTGGGGATTTATTGAAAAAACAAATTTTAAAAAATCCACGTTTGGGGATTTATTGAAAAAACAAGTTTTAAAAAATCCACGTTTAAGGATTTATTGAAAAAATAATTTTTAAAAAATCCACGTTTAAAGATTTATTGAAAAAATAATTTTTAAAAAATCCACGTTTAAGGATTTATTGAAAAAATAATTTTTAAAAAATCCACGTTTAAGGATTTATTGAAAAAATAATTTTTAAAAAATCCACGTTTAAGGATTTATTGAAAAAATAATTTTTAAAAAATCTACGTTTAGGGATTTATTGAAAAAATAATTTTTAAAATATCCATGTTTGTGGATTTGTTGAAACAATAGTTTTTAAAAAATCCACGTTTGTGGATTTATTGAAAAATAAATTTTTAAAAAATCCAAGTTTGTGAATACTTTGAAAAATTAATTTTTAAAAAATCCAACTTTGTGAATACTTTGAAAAATTAATTTTTAAAAAATTCAAGTTTGTGAATACTTTGAAAAATTAATTTTTAAAAAATCCAAGTTTGTGAATACTTTGAAAAATTAATTTTTAAAATATCCATGTTTGTGAATACTTTGAAAAAATAATTTTTAAAATATCCATGTTTGTGAATACTTTGAAAAAATAATTTTAAAAAATCCACGTTTGTTAAGATTTTGAAAAAATATTTTTTTAAAAAATCCACGTTTGTTAAGATTTTGAAAAAATATTTTTTTAAAAAATCCACGTTTGTGAATATTTCAAAAAATGAATTTTTAAAAAATCCACGTTTGTGAATATTTCAAAAAATATTTTTTAAAAGATCCACGTTTGTGAATATTTTGAAAAATGAATTTTTAAAAAATCCACATTTGTGAATATTTTGAAAATAATTTTTAAAAATTCACGTTTGCGGAATAATTCCAAAAAATAAATAAATATTTTAATAAACAAAAAGCAAAAGTAAAAAGGCGTTAAAATTCAATCTATTTCCATTTGATTTTCCCGCTGCGATTTCAAAACCAGGCCATTGCCTGTCATAGCCATATTTTTTCATATTATTCCTTCTATGGACATCAACATCCCTGCAGGTCCTGGCACAGTTTCAACAAAAAAATCTATTAAATTTTATAAAAAAAGGAATTGTTTCAAATATGCTTTCCTTTTCTCCCCTCATTCTGGCCATCCTGCTTTCTATTTAATTCTTCCTCCGCTTCCATTAGATATGGTAATATTCAATGGTAATAGGATTCCATGTTTCCATATTGTAATCCAATAAACGAAACAATCAAAATGATTAGAAAATAAAATTGAAAATCAAAGAGAGGATGGACGGGAAAATCTCAAGGCATGCCCAAAAATTTCCACGATGACTTCTTGTTGTTTACTCTGCAGCTTGCTCCGAAGATACCGAGTCCTGTCATGTCTTCAATTGTAAGTTCATCAATAAACAACAGCTCACACCCTGGCTGACGCCTCTCCTCCGTCTTCGCCTAACTTAACTTACTTAAGTGTTATCCTTAATGTTTGCCTCTGTTACTTGGTCTATTTTCTAAATTGTGTTTTTCGTTGGTGCTCCCCTCCCTCTCTTCCTCTCCCCCTCTCTTCGCCCATTAAAACCTGTTAAGTGACCTTAACAATTTCCCTTGAATGTATCTTCGTTCTTTCTAGTCTATTTGACTGTCATCTATCCGCTTGTGTTTGAATCTTCTTTTTTTTTACCCTGCTCTTTGTGTTGTTGTTCCTTCTTGTCTTCCTTCCAGCCATCCTTGACAGCCATGTAGTTGTTGCTATTAAAATGGATTTACATTGTGTAAACGACAAAATCTACTTGAAATTACATTACTTTACATTTGCAATCATGGCCATTGAATTGGACGTTTCATCTATGAGCTGAGATGAACAGAGGATAAGGCAGAGATAGATTCACCCTCCATTCCCCGTAAGACGAAGAAAAAGATGTGTAGCAGAATTGGAGAGCACAGTGTTTGAAACAAGCAAACAGGATACATGGGTAAAATGTGGAAAAGAAAAATGTTTCAGTTCGCGGAAGAGCTTAATCTGCTTTCCGAGAAAAAATGAAGAAAGGGATCAATTGGTAGTACTTTTGTATAAATTTATGAAGGGAGCTTAAATATTCTCCGATTGACAAGATTTTTTAAACAACGGTAGCGCGGACATTACTGAAGAGATTCAATAACAATTTAGAGGGTTAAGTTTGGATTGAGTAGCCCCTGTTGGGCCCATGACGTTGAAACCTGATGTTGGGAAAATAAGAAACGATTCCATGATAGTACTTTTTTAAATGGGGAAATAGAGGACTTATATATTATCCAATCGCCAAGCATTTTTAAACAAGCGTAGCGCGGACACTGCTGAAGAGATTTAATAAAAAATTGTAGGGTTAAGTTTGGATGGAGTAGCTTCTGTTGGGCCCATGACGTTGAAACCTGACATTGGGAAATATAAGAAACGTTTCCATGATAGTGCTTTTGTAATGTGGAAAATAGAGGGCTTA